TTTCAATATTTAATTAGTATTATTTCCTAAAAGGGGGAGTTAGGGCAATTAAATAATGAGGACAAATGAGGGATAAAATCAACTAAATATCTATATTTCTATTAATTTACATAATAGATCATCGTAAGACGCTTGAAATGCCTTTTACTTGGATCTAGGGTTATGGGTAAGGCCAGGTATCTTTTGTACACGTAAAAAAGGGAGCGACTCTAATGCAGAAAAAGGGGAGAAGCGAATTGTGTCGAGGGAATGCAACTAAATATAAGAAGAATAACTAAATGGGGAAGAACTAAAGAGTGTAGGCTCACCGTTGGGGGGTATAGAAAGGAATACTTCTTGAGGCGAGGGGGAAATGAGGGGGACAACTCATACTCATGACTTCCAGTTCAGGGCTAATCGGAGTCCTTCGATGACTCCAGAGATTGAGCCTTCGTTCCTCCTTCTGGATTCCACGGGCACAGTAACTACGGCCGGGATGAGCTTGGGCACCAAAAATCCTCTTTATCCCAACAAAATCCAAATATATCGACTTTGAGGTATGTTCACTGATAATTCAATTAACTTGGGGCGCACGTGGCAGTGTCCAGGACAGTGGTTACACGAGTGTCGGTCTCTTCGTTTCCTCCGTGATTCGTGGGGGTTCATCGGGTGCCGAAGTCCTTCGGGTTGGAATTCGGGAGCAATCGGGCCCAATCAATACGGGTGAGTAGTGACGATGACCATAATCCAGGGATGTCTCGTTGGGATCGTCGAGGGTGGTGGGTTGCCGAGGCCCATGTATGGGTGGTTTGTGGGGGGAGCAACGGCTCCTTCAGTTTATCCGGTAGGGCCGGAACTGTTGTCTTTCTTCGGCTGATGTCTTCGTGATGTCCAGTGACGGGAGTAGTGGGGCGATGAGGGGAAAATCGAGGGAAGGTATATCCAACGGTGGCGGGATTTTATTATTTAGGGGGCAGTGTGTAGTTGGGTAAAGTATAAAATAAAAACAAATAAAAATAAAGAATCGCCTCGTCACAATGCATATCTTGTCATTATCCGTTATGATCTCAACATTCATATTTCCACACAGTGAGAGGCAACCCACATCAAGCTGGAGGAAATTGGAGCTTCAGGCGTGGCTTGCCAAAAATAATATCCCTTTCGGTCTGGGCGATACCAACAGAATGCTGCTTGAAGCATGCAGGGCCAACAAAAAACCGATTCGATTTGAACTCGATGACTTCGTGGCGGCTAACACGATTCATGAGATCGTGCGCTTACCTCCACACCATTCATTTTATAATCCCATCGAGTATGTCTGGGGAATATGGAAGCGCTACTTCGATCTGCATATTGGTCGCAACAATTACTTTTCTCTAGAGAATACTGACAAGATTTGGGCCGAAGCACTTGCCTCCATAACACCTGAAATTTGGAGGTCGTGCTGCGAACACACCGACAAACAGATCTTGGCAGATTATGCTAGAGAAGTCAATGGCGACGAAGAACGAAGTTATAAGCGACATATAATCTGTGACGAAAACGACCAGAGCATCGATCCGGACAACTTTGACATGATGGAGTTCGTAATAGAGACTAACTCTGATGATGACTGCTGCTCTCCTTCATCTATAATCGAAGCGCTGCCATCAGCACCATCAGTTCGTCGATCGGTGTTCGATGCATTTGATACCGCGATGGTAGGATATGCGAATAGTACATTACTGAACTCACCTGGTACCTATTTGCTATCATTCTGTTGTTGCAAATTCGAATATTTCGTTACTTGTTCACAGAGTATTGATGGTTCCAACAATGAGGACTTTGGAGTATCTTCAGCAGATATTCCCGTTCCGGAGGTCGCCCAAGTGCCACCGCTGATTCCATCACCTCTCCATCTTGATGAAGACAGTACAGCCGTGGTCTGTGGAATGGTATAATATGGGCACAACGAATTTATGAATGACTGCAATAATACCTCTCAGTATTCTTTCATTACGACTTGAAATTTTACATCACTCGTTTACAGATTGTCGATGTTTCCGAAGACGAGGGCCTTGGGATGTCTTTGCAAGATGCCGAAGCTTCGGAAGTCACTGCCATTCCCGCTTCAATTCCATCATCTAGAGATTCCATCTCTATTGAAGAGACCAAAACTGCGGTTTCCAGCATCATCAATGTAAATTTATTACAGTCATCATTTGTTACAATATTTAATAATATTCTGTTTGCAGTTGTGTGTCGATAACGATCAGGATTATGTCCCCGTCGTTCTGCCAGATGAGTCGCCAGACATCAATTCTGAATTGTTAACCAACTCATTCTCAACGACTTTGCGTCCATTTTCTGTTCAGGTATAATTTCATAACAAATGATAGTGATTATGATAATTATTATCAGTTATAGGCTTGTTATTTTCATCTCTAAGGGCTAGTATTTATCACCGTTCCCCTCCTTCTATCTTTCCTCATCTATCCAAGAAATTTCCAAACTGTGTTGCACTAATTGAATTTTAGGAGTCTCATTATTATTCTCTTGACTTATAGGATTGGTTGAAACGAGACGACAGCGCCTCCATTCCTACCGATGGAGATCCACCGCGTATTTTGGATTTGAAAACATTGGTCGAGATGAGATGGCTGAATGATAATGTGAGTATAAAGAGGAGAGACCGTACTGTTATAACTCGTTCAATGGAAATAATCTGCATTTTTTTAGATAATTAATAATTATTCGAGCCTGGTTGCGAAGAGGAGTGGAAACGTTGTTTACGCATTTTCCACAAATTTCTACGCAAACGCAGTCATCTCATACGACAAAGTGAAACGATGGACGAAAAATGTAGATAATTTTGAGAACGTACAACCGCTACTTCAACTTTGATCTTGTGAGACTAATTCCATACGTTTTCGTTTGCAGGTTGACCTTTTCAGTAAAGAATTGGTATTGATACCAATACACTTGCCTTCTCATTGATGTTTGTGTGAAGTTCGTGTGCAAGAAAAGTGCATTCAATGCTATGATAGCATGGGTAACAATAATCAACTATGCATGGATGTAAGTATGTCAAAAGTTATAGCGATATATACAGTTCGTGAATACAGATCACCCTAAGCAACTCTGAATGTCATTATTATATCGTTCCTCAATTTCATAGTCAATTCTTGGTTATCTGATGAGAGAACATGCAGAGAAGAAGCATCAGGCGCTAGTACCTACTGATTGGACAACGATACAAGTGAAGGTATGGATTTAATCATTCAATCATGAATAGTATATTCGTTGGTTTCGATCAATTCGTTTTTGTCTAATTCCCATTTCAATTCACAGAATATTCTTCAGCAAACTAATGGTTTCGACTGTGGTGTATTCACCTGTGCATACGCAGAATATTTGACCAGACATGCACCCTTCACATTCTCTGGAGCCAATATGCCAGGTATAAGGAGAAGAATGATGGAGGAGATTGTTTCATCTCAATTACAATTCTCGTTACCCACTTCATTCCCTGTAGTATCCGAAAGTAATGCAGAACGTGGTCCAAAACTTGAAAGCACTGTGGTGACCAACACTCGTTTTAGCATTATAACTTCAAGCTTTTGCGCTTGACATTGTCGGAGGATAATAGTCTCCTAACTGAACAATTATTCTTTCAAGGCTAAAGATATTTGGCAACTTCCGACAGGGAAAAAAAAACTCGCCGAAGTTCGAACACAGAAGATACGAGATGTTTTCCTCCATCAGTCAGTCAGGTTTCACCAAGGTGACCTCAAATACTTCCCACAAGAAAGCGCAAATACTCAATGTACAGCCATTGCCATGTTCAGCATTGTAGCTTTGTCCTTTTCTGCTGGAAATACCATCAGAGATCTCCTGGACTCGATTCTTATTGGGGGTGATCAGTATTACGTTCAATGCAAATTACGTAATAATGTAAAGGATTCCCATCTTTGCCCAGAGGAACTATTACCATTGTTCACGGCTTGTGGTCACTCGGTTACGGTCAGTTTTCATCCCGCATGGGACAGGTTCTTTTCGTCAGGAAACGTATTGACGGAACTGAGAAACGGCATAAGCTCACTGATGGAGAGATATGAATCACGCTTTGATGCTACGGGATTCTTATATGTTGCTGGTGTAAAAACAGTTGCGTTCATTTCGCGATGCATTGGAAACGAGAGGAACTTCTTCATGTTCAACTCGTATTCGGTGAATAGCAATAATTGCTATCCACACAAGAAATTGAACAGAGGTGCAGCTCGTGTTTTCCGCTGTCTCTCGGTGGAAGCACTTGCTCGCTTGCTTCTAATCGATGGTCATCGAAATCGCGAGGCATGGATGATAGTCTGTGCTCAGGTATGCCAAATTTTTTCTATCCAGTTGATGTCATACCACCAAAATTCTTTTCTTTTTTAAAAATATAAGAATCAAAATATAAGAATCATCTCATGATAATGCAATGTTTTTCTGCAATAGTTCCCAGAATCTCCGGGCGGTGGTATTACGTAGGACGGTCGGAGAAGGTGAATGTACCAAAACAAGCAAACTATTGATGAATCAGACCTGAGGTAAGACTTAATAGAGCTGATTGATGACGTGAATTGTCTAAGCTTAATAATTAATTTCATTCAATAATAGCTTCTAATTGTCGATTTGCATTTAGAAAGACTTGGCGATTATGGAAGTCCTCGCCGAGCTGCTGCATACCCCCCAGATTCTTCTTTGACAGCTAAGTTGACTTATTTTTTAATTCATAGCACTCATCTTACACGATATTTGAGCCCCATGAGTCTAATTTATGTAATCAACCCATTCATATCTGTCGTTATTCGTTTTCAGTCAAACTGAAACTATTGCAGCCTCTGGATTCTCACAATGCCACATTCACTCCCACATTCACTCACAGCTAAGTCAAGATAATTATTTTGAATTATTTCAGTTAATAGTTGTATGTTGGTAAAACATTTTCCTTAATTTACAACCTGTTCACTTTGTCTATAGCGAAAAGTCAGGATTCTGGACTATCGAAAGAAGTAATCATTGCAGTTTCACAGTCATCAGCCCGCCTTTCTCACATGCCGATTTGTTTGGTGATTTAGTGTTGTAAGTATATAATTAAATTTAGTATTCATAATTCAACCGATATAATAACTCGTACTCTTTCATTAACCGTGAAAGATTCTGACCATTCTGAAAAAAGAGTTAAGAGTGCAGAAGAATTGAGAAAAACGGGAGAAAATTTGTGCTCGATGAATTTAACTCCGTCTTCGCATTATAGAACAGAAATATTCTTACGTAATAATTTCTTTGCCTGCAAGGACAGAGATAAATTCTTTTTACGAAAATTGGCCAACATTCCAATGATCTTTTACCCTCCCGCAAGCTTAATGTCTGCGGCAATTGATAAAAATCGATCTGTTGTTAAAATGAACTTCTTATACAGCTCCATGTTCTTTCGGCGATAAAGGTCGTGTTACGGAGTCGCCCATATCGACGGGGGTTTTCCATGGTTTCCCTCGGTCACCAGGAGTGTCTGCAAATGAAGTACAGCTCCTGGGGCAAATGCGACGTGATTGGAGGAAGACGGCCCATGGTAACGCATAAAAATGACAGTAGAAAACCGGATAAGCTCTACAAATATTGTATCCAAGGAAATATATATCTACATTATTGTGATTTGTATCTATTATTATTACCTATCATTTTCTCCTCCATTTTCATTTTTTAAAGATTTTTTAAGAAATATTTTTTCAATTAGCTTAATTAGATCATAGAAAAGGGAATTCTTCCGTTCCAATGGAAGCATGGTAATCGTTCAAATTTAAGTTTCGCATTTTTTGTGTTATATCGACATATTAGGATCCAAAAAGTTCAAAAATGCAATTTCTAAACCGTCTTCGTACATATGTATGCATGTATGTGTGAGAAAGTTTTTCTGCAATTGTTCGCTAATGAATCGATGGAATTGAACCGTTTCTCTCAAATGTAGGTATTATTCAGCTCTGTCCGTCGCCATTAATTAAAAATTGATTCATTGATTAATTTTTTACTTTTCGATATTTTTAAATCGGTTTCCACGTTAAAAAAATTTTGAATCCATTAAATAATGGCTTAATAAATTTTTTCCGATGTGCTTTTCACCGAATTCGAAGATGAAGCAACAATCTTTATTTTGATTTATCATGAAATTTTGCAAAAATTTTGTATTTTTTGAATATCTGATTTCTGCAGATATATTTGGATATTATCCTTTAAATTAATTCAATCATAGATAAAAACGTTTGTTTCAATGACACGAAATCGAAGTTGAAAGATAGTTACGATAGCTATCTCCGTTAATTTGATTTTTATGATGATTTTTGAAAATTTCTAATATTTCATGAGTTTTCCTGAAAGTGACCTTTCTAATGCTTTCTTCAGATGTAATATTGCAAATTCATTCAATTACATATAAATACAATTTTTTTTTATTTTTTCGATTTTTAAAATGATATAGATTGCGTTATTCTTTCATTTTGCTTATACCAGATCTTCGGAAATTATTCTGTTAGCATTCGTAAGGTTGTCAATTTTCCATTATTGCGGAAAAATTCAACTAAGTCGAAAATCTGCCACAATTTGTTAAAAACATTATTAACTTTAATAAAATTAAATAAACTATGAATTATATAGGGTAGATAGAAATGACATACCATATGAGTACTCGGCAGCATATTGCAAATTTATTAACAAAAATAACTATACCATATGCAATATATTAATAATTTCCCACTTATTTTCGGTTTAAATCGAAAGGGTTAAAATTATAGATTGATTGATTTCAAAATTGATTTTATATGATACGTGCGTGTAACCGCATGGTTTTCAGTTGACTATAGTCAACTGGAAAGTAGCGGGTTTCAAGCGCCTACCCACACTCAACTGAAACCCACTGTTCTAACAGTTGAGTATGAGTAGGCGCTTGAAACCCGCTACTTTCCAGTTGACTATAGTCAACTGAAACCCGAAATAACGCATGACGCGCATGCGCATCACCTATTAAAAGAGAATAATAAGGAAGGAAATCTAACCTCCGAATAGTGAATACATGGAATGACTGAAAAATGAAAAGGTGATTTTCGAAGCAGATAAAATGAGCCAAAATCGTATAATTCCTGATAGTGATGAAGAGTTAGGCAGTGAGGAGAATTTATTTACTGATGAGGAGTTTATTGGTGATGTGACATTTGAAGAAAATGAAAATAAAATATTCTCCAATGAAGCAACAGCAGGATCGCCAAAAACTCCGCAGAAGAGAATCCGTTATGATGATTTTGATAACAACAACGAAAATCTTCCATCAGATATTTTAGCAAATGCCCAAAAGGCCAAAACTCAGATGCTACCAACAACTTCTATAGGAAAATATAACGTTTTATATCATATTTTTTTATAATTATAACTTTTTTTTTTTGCGAATTCTTAATGATTTTTAAAAATTGTATTTTGTAATTATTATAATGAATTTTTTTCAATTAAAAATACTGTACAAGTTTTTTGAACTACATATTTAATGAATATAATTAATTTTTTTTACAGAAGTTCCGCATAATTTTTAAATCACACTTTTTTATTATTATTTTTTAGAATAAATGTGATCATTTTTCTTCAGTGGGGGGGGCTTCGAGCCCCCCCAACCCCCCCACCGGGGGCTTCGCTCCCCACACCCCCCACTCTCTTCCCCCCTCCGCCCCCACACTTCATCACGCACTTGCGTATGCTATTTTATATGATAAGTGTATCATATAAAATAGTATACGCAACACGTGCGGACAGCATGCGGTATCACTCGGGCGGCTGCGCCGCCCTCGTGAGTAACCGCCTGCTTTCGGCTCACCATTTTACAATATTGAACACTTGTTATGTACTATTTTAATGGTACACTACTCAGAATCATAATTTTGATATGATATGAAAAAAGTAAAAAAACCAGTAAACCGATAAAACATAATTTTTCTATGTAATCTAACGAACGTTTTGAAAAAAAAGGGTGAATCGGATGAAAGATATGGTGTAAGGAGCATTTCAAAGCCAAATCACGAAAACCAACCCTTTCGCCTGACGTAAGGGGTTAAATGAGCTGGGTATGAAATTTTTCTTAGTTTTTATGTACCTCATGATATGTCAAAAGTCGCTCAATATTTATTTTCGTCAACCGACGACTTTCAAATTTCACCTGGGTCCCTCCTTAAGAATATTGAGGTTATGGATGCATAATTTGACATATGTGCTTCTCTATTTGTTTATTCTCCCATTTTTAGTAATGATGGGAGCCATCCGTCAGACTTCAGTGACAACTGGAATAAATTTAAAGATTGCGCTCAAATTTGGCGTGCGCGGAGGGATACATGATATGCCGTCGTGGATAGTGGTGGGGGGGTCTTCGGCGAAAACCCGATGTTCCTTCTTTCCTGACGAGAAGTATACTTTACAAGGGAGTATCTGCAGCGGAGAGAACAGTCCTCAGCAGCTGTCATCAGCACTCCACTCTTTAAGCCAATCCGGAGACGAAAGGGACAGCTACGCATCACCCCGACGACTCAGAGATTTTTTGCCACTCTCCGGGAAAAATTGGCTCATCTAAGGGAGAACTCAAAGGATTAAGGTGAGTGAAGTCAAATAAACGAAATCCCTCAAATCTTTTAATTTGTCAAAAGCGGTATTTAACGTACCTTAAAATTCAGGACGTAACAAATTGGCGGCAGCGGTGGGATATCTGCACTTTTATTTCTCTTCTTTCGCCATTTAGTTCTTTTTATATGAAATCAAAATGACTGACGAAGAATTAGGAACCCTCGCTGAACAGCTGAAAGCCAAACAGAGTTAGAGGAGAAAGAAGTCGCGTTAGATAATAAACATAAAAATCTTCTCAACGCTCAAACAAAAGTTGATTCGTTAAAAGAAATTGAGGAAGAGTTGAAAGCACGTGAACGAGTTGTTAAGGACAAGGAACAGCGAGCCAATCAATTAATCAATAGAGCTCGGGAAATGAGTTCCAACCCGGGAAATTATATGCAAGACGATTCACTAACCGAAGAATCAACTTTAAGTTCCCAATTGGCAGAATTGCAAGCAGAACTACAAAGAGTAAAAACCATAGCATTAAGAAACGCAGTTCCTCATCCAACTAACATGGTCACAATCCCTCTGAAAGAAGGTCTCGCGTACATCCCTAATTTTAATGGCTCTAATATGGGTGTATCTCAATTCATAAAAAAATGCAATCGCGCTTGCTCGATGTTACCCGATCACGTCATTCCTACATTTTTAGAATTACTCCGACAAAAATTCAAGAGCCACGCCCGGAGAGCAATTGAAAATTTAGAATATGATGATGCCAGCACTCTTGAAATTCGGCTTCGGGAAGTATTTGATCCACTCACGACCGTGAATCAGCATAAAGCTGCACTCGAAAACATTTCCAAAGGTTCCCAAGAACATATAATCGATTATGTCAATCGAGTTGGCACTCTTTTTTCTGACATTTTAAATCTTGAGAAAAACGAAAAAGGCCGATCCCTGACGTTTATGGAGAAGAAAAAAATAGAGGACGACGCGATCATTGCATTTATGAATGGGATGCCCCCCCTGCTTCGGACATAATGCAAATCACAGCCACATAGAACTCTCGAGGAGGCATACACAATCGAAGTTTACAAAAACCATATCAAAGACTCGGAAAAATTCAAATTTCACGCGCAAATTTTTCAAGTAGTATGTGACCCTCTTCAGGAAGAAAAAGCCCCCGAATCTAGATCCGATAGTAATAAGACCTAGAAACCCAAGCCTAACACCACGTACAATGACAACACCCCAAACAAAAAGAAATGTGATTATTGCGGTTGCAAGAATCACGTAGAGGAAGACTGTTATCGAAAGATTAACGCCGCTAAAAAGCAGAAAAAGACGGGAGAATCATTGCCATATGACCCAGATGCGTTTTGCCACTTATGTAGAGTTAAAGGTCATGATCTTACAAAATGTCGGAATTTCGAGAGGTTGAACAAATTAAAAAATCAAAAAAACGAGAGAACTACCACGGCAGAGATCGACGGACCTCGGAGGGAGAAAACCGAACAGATTCCGTCGAGCTCAGAGAAAACGACCTTCCCCAGGTCCGAACAGCTCACGTATCGCTCAGAGAGGAAAACATTCCTGCCATCACCGTCAGTTCCCCGGACCTAGGAAGGGCAATAGTCATCATGTTAGACACAAGTGCTGAAGTCAATCTTTTGAAATTTTCCAATGTTAAAAATCTTGATAAGATCCAAAAAGATTCCACCTTACATCTGCAAGGAATCACTTCAACGGGAGTAAACACGTTGGGGTACACTACCATTAAAATACATGGTTACTCAACGCGATTCTACATAGTCCCTGATGATTTCCCGATAATCATGAACTCCGTGCCGTTTTCCGTGAATAACACGCGAGGAGTTCCCCAACGAGAAATAATAACATCCTCGATGTGTTTTCGGGTCAACTTCCCCGTACCTCTACGCATGGGTATAATCTCGTAAATAGATATTGGAGAACCAATACGTAGCAATGACCTGATTTGCTGGCCGTAAGTGGGCCCATTACATGTACTGCCACAGTGGTCTACGGCTCCTCAACAACTCGATGACCCATGAA